ACAGGAATATTTCCCACTGTTTCCAGTAATATTGCTGTAATATCGCTATTTCCCCTTAGCTTTCAGACTGTATTGTCATACTCTGTGATGTAATATCACTATATTGTATGAAGACTGTACATCACACTCACTTTAATTAACCCAGATAACTCAGTTCTGCCTCATGGAGAGTTTCTTGGTGTCAGAAAACAAACAAACAAACAAAATAAATAAAAAGGCAGTTCTTATCTTAAACAGAGAATTATGACATTACTGATACTCTTCTGTCATGGTTTAACCCCAGCTGTCAACTCAGCCCCAACAACCACAACAACCACTCACCCATTCCCCCCTGGTGGGATTGGAGAGACAATCAGAAGGGAAAAGTGACATATGAGTGGGAATAAAGACAATTTAATAGGGGAAAAAAGTGCTATGTGTACAACAAAAGCAAACCAAGGAATTCTTTCCCCATTTTCTGTGGGCAGGCAGGTGTTCAGCCATCCCCAGGAAAGCTCCAGCTTTGGGGAGCAGGAGCATGACAAGAAAAGATTAGGTACAACTCTAGCAAGTTGAAGCAGGGAAACTTTCAGTAGGGTTGGGTTTCGGGGTTTTTTGTTAAGTGAAGGAATTAATCCCCTGAAATAATTTACCATATTGGACTAGACCCTTTTAGAGGGTTTAAAATCTAGATTAGTGTTGGTGAGGGCACACCAGGGCACAGCCTGCTGGGAAGCAGCACAACCGTTGTGAGATCCTGGAAAAGCACAGAGAAAACAAGGACAGTCTCTGTGTTACAGCTCCCAAATTCTCAGAAACTGGAAGCCACAACAAACCTGACACAACAGAGGGGCTGTGTCTTTTTGGGACCCTGCAACTGGATTTTCACTGAAGGCATTGGATATGACAGGAAACAGATTTCAAGGGGCAAAGCAAATTTCACAAATTTCACAGTGACACAAATCATGTTTTCCTTATGAACTGTATTTTCTGTGCCCTCCTATAGCATTTTGCTTCTCACTCACATTGTTCCCTCCCCAAACTTCTGATCCTTGCTCACTTGGGGTCACTTTATCCCACAGAGTTCTGCCTCCAACATCTGAACTTTATACCATCTTTCTTTCCAGATTTTCCCTCCCTGCAGCTCAGATGTCAAGGTTTTTTAGGCAGAAGGGACTTGAACAGTTGTGCTCAGTTTTGTTGCAGGCCTCAGGGATTTTATAAATGTCCATTAAAATCAAAGGGGAAAAAAAGTTACTAAGAGTGAGAGGATTGTTCTTTACAAAACTTTACTTTGCAAAACTGTTGTAGCGCAGAATTGGCTACACATAATGCAAAACCAGTGAGGTGAAATGGAGTTCACAGGGAAAATTAGGTCTGGAAAAGCAGTAACTGTGTGATCAATGAATGAACACTAAAGGGTTTTCACCAACAGTGCTGAGACTTTTGGGGCTTATCCTCTAAATTACCTCTCTTTCTCCTGTTCTCACAGTCCACTCCAGGGATTTACCTCACCTGCAATCAAACCTCTGGACCTGCTGACATGGCCCAGCCAGTTCCCCTGGTTTCTGTGTTTTTTATATTACACTTATTGGCTGTGATAGAAACCAGCAAGAGACTCTTCTCCCACTCCCAACCTCCTGCCTCCATGTAACTTATAATTGAGTTGTGGTTGGGGAACATTAACTCTCCAAAGGTGTATGGAAATGTTTGCTCTGACTGGTGATCTGGGAGATTTTATTGTCATGATTACCATCTTGCTTTTCTATTCTTAGCTCCAGTTCTTGATTTTTAGTGCCTGCCATATCTCAAGAGGGTTTGCAGAGACAGAAGTAATTTTCGGGAGAAGAATGGGAAAGTTTCCATGTGGTGCAAAATATGAAGAGGGAGGGTGATCAAGTGAGTAACAAATCAGGATATGAATCAAAGGCTGCTAAAACCAAGAGGAACAATAATATTAACTGCAGGGGCTTTGGGTCCTAGGAGGTAAACTATGTCTTGTAATACCACTGCTTAGTGTACAGGGCAAAAATGTAAAAATATCACAGGTTTTTTTTGTGAAAAACTATGTTTAATAATATGTAGGAGGGACTGCTGAGAGCAGGAGAGAGGTGCATTTCTCAGTACTTCTCTGTAATATTTTGTCCCCCTTGTTATAAAGTGGTTTACTGGGAGATTAAATACAAGCCTTAAATCCCTGAGTGTCAACATATCAGAGTCCAAACCAAACAATCCATATATCAGCAGCAAGCCTTTATTCCTGATCAAGTAGGGAATTAATGAGCTCAGAAGGTAGTGCCAGGATTGCCTCCCTTGGCCACATGTGAGGAGAAAGCTCTGCTCCAAAATGAGCATCTGTGTTCTTGTTTGGACACATCAAATCACTAACTACACCGTCATAAGCTTGGGAGAAATCAATGGCAGAGTGTGAAGAGGGAAAAGGTTTCAGTGCTGTGGACAGAGTGAAGGAAGAGAAAAAAAGTGACTTTTTAAAGGTTTCCAAACCTCCTCCCCACTCCAAACCTCACTGGATTGTCTTCCTAACTCATCCCATCCCTCCATCCTCCCTCTGTTTTTGTTTGTTTGTTTGTTTGTTTGTTTTTTACCTGTATTTTTTGGAGGCCTGCCCTCATCTCCAAACCCTTTCCCTGGAATTCCACCAGCTCATACATACACATGAGATGCCTTAAGGGCTGGAAATGAGAATGAGGATCCCAGAGGTGTCAGACAAGTGTTCTGCTTTTTTGGAGCCACCTTGTAGCTATTTCTTTTCCCACAGCTGACAGAACAATGAACTTTCTTATTCAGTTACAAACTTCTATTTCCCCATACCAGGAAAAAGGAAGCAAATCCCCTCCTGCCCAGAGCTTTTCAGTGCCTGCATGTTGTCCTTTAGTCTTCTGAAACCTCCATTGCCCTTTAGAAGAGGGCAAACTCCAAACACCAATGAACTGAATAGCTAGATAAAGATAGAAATATTTACCTCAAATAAGAAGCTGAAAAAAGTGAAGTGATCTCTCCTTTCACCATGGTTGCTCCTCAGCTTCTTATACAAGAGAAATATTGAAGATTTTTAGTCCATGGACACTGCAGGGATGTTGTTGATCATGGAAGGTCAGTGACTGACTGCCAGGAGAATATAATACAGCTCATTTATGTTAAAAAGCACTGACTATTTGTTGTGATTTCTCAGTAAGATCAAGGATCTGAAACTGATTTTTATTGTTATGGATTGCTCACATCAGAGATCTACCTGACTTGGAAGAAGCAAACATATTAATTGAAGATTTAACAGCAGTTTCCACTCCTTTTTATCTCAGTTCAAACATTAAATGCATTGAAGTTTTTTTTTCTTTACTATATATTTATATAATCTGATTTCTTTTCAGCCAAAGTTCAATTTCCTCCACGTGGATGTATCTGCCATCTCAGTTAACTCAGTAAGTCCTTTCATACCATCCAGTACCAGAGTTGTAATCATGGATACGAGTTCTTAGGAATCATCTCTGGCAAAGTTCTTCATAACAAAGTTTTCTGATTTTGAGTAATATATGTAAATCCATTTATAAATCCTCCAATTACTTCAGGAATGGAGAGTGACTTTTCTTCAGTTTTTGCACTGTGCTTGCATTTTCTCTTTTGGGGACCTTAAATATTTCAGGGCATTTATAAAGGTTGACTTCTCCTGCCTTGCCTGCTTTACCTCTGTGGAGTGTTTTATTTGGTCTTATGTCAAATGAAGATGCAGGCTCAGAAGGTTAGTAACACTTAAAAGCACAGGAAAGATCAATATGGGATTTGGAAAAGTGGGAAGAAGCAGCCCTGATGGAACTTTATAGCCCTCCAGAGAGTGTTTTTATATTGGAGCACTGTGAAGGGAAAATCAGTCTAGACTCATCCCACCTAACTGAGGCTCTAAATTTTGAGCACAGCAACCCTGGGGAAACATAAGAATCTCTAGAGGGTAGTAGAGTCTATCCCAAGATCTTTTTTCCACTGACTGTAATAGGAGCTGAAAGTGGTTGTGCTCATTTTTAAATGCTTAAAGTAAGATAAGGTAAATCCAGGCTCAGCAGTGAATCCAACTTACCTGTAAAGAAAACGAGCTCTAAAACCATCCTGTAGATTGAAGAATTGCTGAGCCTGTGCTCTGAATGAGCAGGACTGGAGGATCCTGGCACAGGCTTTGCAGCACTTAGCATTGCTGCTGAGGAGATCAGAAACACCCCAGTGGGGACATAAAGCAAGAAAAGAAAAGGCAGAGGACGTCACAGCCTTGCCTGATGTTTTCCTGCCTGCTGCTGTCAGCACTGTCTGTCATCACTGCAGGCTCTGCACTTTGCTGACTGCCTGTTTGCTGTGCATTACAGAGGTTGTTCCAGCATGTCAACATGCTCCTTGGAGTTCTTGTTTTGCTTTGTTTCAGGGGATTAGGGAGTCAGCACAGTTAAACAGATGATTGCAATAGTCACTTCTGGGTCCTCCTCTCAGCAAACTCTACTTTGCTCTTTTGAGACTCCACTTTAAGTCCTGTGCCCAGACCTGGGGCTCCCAACACCTGCTGGAACGAGTCCAGAGGAGCCTACTAAGTTGATCAGAGGGTTGGAGCATCTCTGCTCTGGAGGTAGGATGAGAGGGGTTGGGATTGTTCAGCCTGGAGAAGGGAAGGCTCCAGGGAGACCTCAGAGTCCCTTCCAGTGCCTAAAGGGGCTCCAAGAGAGCTGGAGAGGGACTTGTCAATAAAAGTTGCAATAAGAAATTGAAAATGCAGGCAAAAATTAGTTTATACATGCATCTATAGTTGCTATCTGTGATGGTTAGAGGGTTTGACATCACTCACAACTATTTCCCTGGAACAAAGGTTGCAAAGCAGTAACAACCTATTTTATTTTCTGAATGCCATCTGATACTCTTAAAACTGACTTTCCAGTTACTGACAGCATTCCAAGAATCAGGAATCCCTGCCCTTTATTGTGAAACTCAAGAATTTTTGCCGTTACTGTCTATAATCAACAACCAAATCACCAATCATCACCATATTTTTATTCATTTGCCTTCCATGGCATGGTAAGGGGGAGTCAGTCCAATGTCCAAAGCAAATGATAAATTCCAGAATCAGTAATACAAAGAAGAAGCCAATTAAACTTCCTTATTACATTTTACTAAGCTGCTCCAGACCAATTATAACCATATTTCTTTGTGGTCTAATTAGGTTTGACTCAGTTGCACAGTGTGGAGGCCTGTAATGAGTGAACACATGAGAAACACGGCTCAGACTCCATGTGAGGGATCATTAATATGCTCTGGGCTGCTGCTTTGGAAGAGACTGCACCTAATTATGTGGGTTAACACACTTAAACTAAATGGATGAATTGCAGCCATTTGCAGTGTTTCAAGTCCCCTCAGACTGACAGAACTGTAGATTAATAAGTTGTTAGAGAGTGATCTGTTGACCTGCCCCATCGTTCTTCACTTTCACTTCATATGCTCTTGGAGGCATGAAATGCTGCAGTGTAGAAATGTGTCAATCACTGCATTTCAACTGTGGGCCTTTCTCTGGCTCTTGCCTAAGAAACGATCCAAGCTGGTGAAACAGGAAAATGCAATGCCTGACAGGTCCAATGAACTTCAGTTGACTTTGTGTCCAAATGCACCATTCACAGGAGACAACAGGTCCCTTGCCAGCACAAAACAGCTTAGGATAAGGACTGGACTCCTCCCAGCTGTCTGGGGCTGCCTAAAGCCAGGCCTATCCTACAATCATAGAATGGTTTGGGTTGGAAGCAACATTAAAGATCATCAAGTTCTGACCCCCCTGCTACGGGCAGGGGCACCTTCCACTATCCCAGGAGCCAAAATCAATGCAAAAAGTCCTGGAGTTTTTGATTTTTGTTTTTTTGTCTTTCTCAGTTGGTAATAGACCTTTGAAACTCCTTTTTAAGCCACACCATCATCAGGAAATCCCCTCAGTGGAAAAATTTAGAATATAGACTGCAAAGTTATTAGGGAGAAAAAAATTATAAGTACCTTTTCTGTCCCTTGGTTACTTGTTTATGGCCAGTGCTGGAGATAGAATATCAACTGATAGGGAGTTTTCAGACAAGGGACCAGAACTGTTCTTATGTCCTACCTTGTGGTGATGAAGACATGGAATGCTCCCCAAGGCTTCCTCCTGACTAGTTCAAGCAGCTGTCTTCCCAGCACAGTAAATTTAATAAAATCATGGAATATCCTGAGTTGGAAGGGACCTAAAGGATCCTCAAAGTCCAGCTTCAGGCTTTATATGTATTCCATGCAAGCTTTCACAGGTGTCACAAAAGGGGACAAAACGTCAAGAAATTGTTGACCAGTGGATGGCACAACACTACCAGTTTTGACACCTATTTCCTTTTGTGGACCCAACTCTGAGGAACAGTCCTCATTTTTAAAAGATCTCAGATCTGAGAAATTTCACTGGCTCCTGAAGGGCTTTGGCAGTGACAGCAGGAGACACCAAAACACGTTTGTTTTCTCATGTTCACATTTGTCCTTAAGGCACTAGAGACAAAACTGTTTCCTATTCCACTCCTGCCTAAAATGACCTGACAACTTAATAATTGAACCGGGTACTTAGCTCACCACGCTTCTGACGTGCCTCTTCTTAATTGATTTTGTCAGGATCTTTTTAACTTCTGCTGTTTCCATCATGCTCTAGCTTGGCATAATGCCTCTGAAAAGAGGTTTATTAGAATTTTCCCCTGTCATATCCTGTTCTCACATTAACCCTCTGTGTCATGGTGGTTTGCAGGATCTGCCCAAGTTGAACTGCCTGATGTTGGAAAGCTTTGAGCTCCGTGCCTCTGCCAGGGATATTGTAAAGAAGAAACTATGCCTGTATTTTCTCCCAAAACATCAGTAGCATAAACAGCTGCTTAATGGCATTGTTAGATATATTTTCCACGAGGAAGGCAAAGGCAAATGTGCTCATGAAGTGAGTAAAGCAATAGAAAACATATCTTCACTTGCAGTTGGAACTGAAGTTGCAGTTGATGGCTCATTGTCCAAATGGAGATTAGCAACAAGTACTGTCCATATTGGACCCAGTGCTGTTTAATATCTTTATAAATGACATAACAACAGGATTGAATGCACCCTTCAGTGAGTTTGTGGATGACAGAGGAGAAAAAACATAAAAAACAACTCGTGGGTTGAGAAAAAGAACAGGGAGGGATCACTCACCAGTTACTGTGTCGGGCAAAACAGACTCGACTTGGGGAAATAAGTTTCATTTATTGCCAATCAAATCAGAGTAAGATAATCTGAAATAAACCCAAATCCTAAAATACCTTCTGAAATAAATCTGAAATAAACCCAAATCCTAAAATACCTTCTCATTGCCCTGCCGGCCCTGCCCTGCCTTCTACCTGCACTCAACCTCACTTCCCACCACTCCTCTCCTCTGACTGCTGCTGGTGTTACACTGGAAGTTCTTTTTCCCAGCTTCTGATACGCGTTATCCCAGAGGTGATACCAGCATTGCTGATGGGCTCAGCCTTGGCCAGCAGCAGATCCATCCTGGAGCCATCTGGCATTGGCTCTGTCGGACACAGGGAAGCTTCTGGCAGCTCCTCACAGAAATCACCCCTGTAGCCCCCCTGCTACCAAAACCTAGCCACACAAACCCCAGACACAACTCTGGGGTCCCCAGCTCAAGAAAGACACAGACATGTTAAAAGAGATCCAGAGGAGGGGCACAAAAATGATCACAGGGCTGGAACACCTCTCCCATGAGGAAAGGCTGGGAGAGTTAGGGCTGTTCAGCCTGGAGAGGAGAAGGCTCTGCACGGACCTTATGACAGCATTTCAATAGGACAAAGGGAGTTTATAAAAAAGATAGAGGTGCTTTTTACCAGGGCATGGAGTGACAAGGCAAGGGGCAACAGTTTTAAACTGAAAGGGGGCAGGTTTAGATTAGAAGAAATTGTTTATAGTGAGACTGGTGAGGCCCTGGCACAGGTTGCCCAGAGAAGCTGTGGATGTCCCATGCCTGAAAGTGTTCAAGACCATGCTGGAACAGGGCTTGAAGCAACCTGGGATAGTGGAAGGTGTCCCTGCCCATGGCAGGGGAGTTGGACTAGACAATGCTTGAAGGTCCCTTCCAAACCAAACCATTTTCTGATTCTATGATTTAGCCTGAATATACTCTTTTATACAAACCTCATGTTTTGCTTTGTTTTTAATAGCATTTGCTATTATAACCAAGCAACTCACAACATTATGTTTGCTACCACGTGATTTCAAACTTGCTCCAGGCCAGACAAGCTCAACAGTTTCAGCAGAGAAATTCTTTACCTGGGTCATCGGTGCCAAATTCATGTGCTGGGTGAGCTGGCTCAGGGAAAGCTCAATCAGTCTGTGTCTGCACTGCATCACACTAATGAGGTAATCACTGAGCTGCTAATGAATGGGATTAGTGACTGGGCAAGCAGTGTTTGTTCTGGATCCCTTGTTCAAATGCAACTCGAAGCTCTCAAAATATTTGCTCGCAATCAGCCACGAGCTGGGCTCGGTTCAGCTCCCACTAACGAGATGAAAATGATTTTCATCACTGGAGGATTTGCCAAATGTGCTGATGGAGAAAGTCTGCACTTTGTGGTGGATAGAGGGAAGGAGTTCTATTTCAGAAGTAAACTCTCTGTAGTAAGGTAAAGCAGTAGGTGTCATAATTCCTAATTTCATACCAGCACTAAGCTTGGCTGGGAAAAAAAAAAAACCAGTATCACTTTATTAATTAGCTTTTCCTAATAGCAATTAATGAATATATAATATTACATGTAACAATCCAGTTATGTAGATTTGGTAGCATAAATCTAAAGAAAAAACACCGGAACCTGTGCCTTCTGTTTCTTCACCAAAGCAAACTGTACTGATTTAAGAAGTTTTACAGCTTTGACCCTGAATGAGCTTAAGCACCTGCAAGATTTCTCTGAGCATTTTCTGTGCTCAACCTTTCCTGAGGAAAGACTGTGTCAGCTTTTTGGAAAGGAAGCATGCAATTGAAATCAGTGCAGGCAAGAATCTAGTTTAATATTTGTTATTCTTTTCTAAAGCTTCACAGTAACCAAAAATCCATATAGAGGCAACTGATTTTTTTTTTTTTTTTTGTGGTGAGAAACACTTTTGTCAAAACATTTTCATTTTCTCAAAGAATAAAAACCATATTGTTTTGTTAAATTCTCTTCAGTAATTCCTATGACATTTTAATTAAAACTATTTTTGAAATGCTTTATTTACCGGAGGAAAACGGCATTTATAACACACGACACATTTAAACGAGAATTTAAATGGCAGTTTCAATCATGTTGTCAGCAGAAAATATTGTGTGTGAGGATGGAACAAAATCCCAAACGCTGGTTGCATTGAAACACATAAATGGAATCTAATGAAAAATTTGGCTTTTTTTTTTTTAAAATGAGATATCTTGCTTGATTTTTTTTTTTTAATAGATTAGAGGTCTTTAAAAAATTGTAACAGTATGCCTTGCTTATTTTTCCTGCTCTTTCAGTAGTGTTTCTCATAAATGAATGTGGTGTTCTGTGCATAGAGTGGGATCAAATAAACATCTAATTTAAGTGTTGTAAATGGCACATATAATTGTGGTCGTGCTTAGCTCAGATCCAGCAGAGCAGAGTCTAAAGAAGCAGTGCACAGCAGGGGGGGGGGGAATCTGAGCTAAATTAATCTTTAAATGTACAAAACCAGCAACAAACAACAACAACAACAAAAGAATCAGACAAAACATCTTGACTTTCATGGTTTTAAATGAGCAGAACTGGAGATCGGGAGCAGGTTAAAAACACAAACAATGGAGATGAATTAAAAGCTACTTATCTTACAGCACATTGTTTAGCAAGTCTGAAGGCAAAGGAAACAGCATTCCCCAGACGTGGGGGACGTAATTAAAATCTGAGGTAAAACGTGTCTACAATGAAGGGAGGGAAAAAACAGGCAAAATTGTTCACAATGGTACCAACACACAGTATGAAATTTAGCTCTTTTTTTCATACAACTTGTGCCTGTTGGTGGAGCAGGTTCAATGGGACGTGTCAGTAACGCAGACGTGGACGCAGGGCCTGAATGTGCAATGCCTTGAGAATCCATTCCAGCTTCCCAGGGGGATCACAGGCTCTGCAAAAACAAGAAGAACCAGTAAGTAATTACAGGATTGCCAGGGAGTTTCTAATGTAAAGCTGTTACTGATGGAAGGTGGTTACTCAAGGGGGTCCCGAAGTGCAGAGTCAGCAACAAAGGAGATGGAAAATCAGAAAAGTGTATTTTCGGTGATTCCAGCCCAAGGTAATTGTGGGAGTAGAAGGGGTGTGCAGACTGGCACAGGATGCCCAGAGAAGCTGTGGATGTCCCATCCCTGGAAGTGTGCAAGGCCAGGTTGGATGGGGCTTGGAGCAACTAGGGTTAGTGGAAGGTGTCGCTGCCCATGGCAGGGGTTTGGAACGAGCTGATCTCTTAAGTCCCTTCCAACCCAAACCATTTTATGATTCCATGGCTGAGAGTATAGACAAAACAAATTCATAAAGAAAATGCAGGACAGAGCTGCTGTAGCAAGGAAAAGAGCAGATTTTGTGCTGCTCTTCAAGGCCAGTAGTTCCCACACCTGGAGAACGCTGCATTTAGTTTTAAAAATACATTTTCCTGCAAAGTGGACAAAGTATAGAAGGCAGAGTGTGACACTGATGCACTTTTCAGGAGAGAATATATCTAAGAAATCTCAGTCTGCTTCCCATTTTTCCATGCAATGAAAACCTTGGACTCACTATGCCATGTGTAGATCTCCAATTAGAGATCAAAACCATGTAAAGCTAAACTATAAAACATTTACACTATTCATTTAGACAGTTAATAGAATTTTAAAAAGGCAATTTTTGATGAAAGAGCATGTTGCTCTCCAATTACTATAAAAGAAGCCTCCTAGGACAGACATCAGCAGCAGAATAGCACCTCCAAGATCAGCCCTATCTGACTTCTAAGGTCAGATAAATTGTATTTTTGCACTCACCACCCCATGAAACAGGTTTGTGTGCTTACAGTGAGCAACCCTATGAAACGCAACTGCATCCTTCTGTAATGTTTGTGTTTATTCTACGTCTACTTCCTTAGTAAATATTGTTTGTGTATCTCTACAAGGTAGAAAATCTAGTTAAACTTGTTATCAAGGGTGAGGAAAGGAATGAAAAAATAGTCTGTTATTTTTATTGAAGACATAACTGGTAACAAGTTCCTTTTTTTTCCCCTTCTTCTTTTTATTTCTGTTTGGGTGCTTGTTTTTTTGGTGGTGTGTGGTTTTGTTGTTGGTTTTGGTTTGGTTTTTTGTTTGTTTGTTTGTGTGTGTGTGTGGTTTCTTGTTTGTTTGTTTGTTTTTGAGGGTTTTTTGAGGTTTTTTATTTCTTTTTTTCTTTTTAATACAGGTGCCAGCCCTAGAAACACTCTTTGTTTTAATTATGCTTAACCGTAAACCAACAAGGTGTCAAAACAGACCAGTGATCAGACACCCCCCTCCCTCAAAGCAGCCAAATATAGACACACCCATATTTTTATTTATGCTGATGTTCAAACTTACTCATAATAAGGTAATTTAGACAATATTTTGAAATCAGATGTCCACTGTGTGCTGTGCTGCATATACAAAGCATAGATAACAGTTCCTGCCTTGTATTCACATAAACACCTCAAAGAGGCAATTAAACCACTCTACTTTAATAAGCAAGGCTATCCTTCTGCAGATGACATCCATCTCAGCTAATTTAAGGTGCAAGTACCTCCATCTGAGCATAATAACTCCCAGGCTCCAGGCTCCTATTACAGTAATTATAGATCTAATCAATACAGCCAAGGATTTTTAGGGTGGGGATCATTTAAATGAAGTCATCAAATTCATATTGACCTAAATTTCAATGCCTGGTATTGACTAGTATTAGTTACAAAGGGATCTTCAGGATGACTTTCTCAGGTGCAGGAAGGTACACCCTGGACACCCACATTTAGCTGCACAAATTCAGTAGCCAAAGTCCTTTTAATGTCACAAAAGGATGTCAAGTCACAGAATGACTGAATGGATGGAGTGGGAAGAGACCTCTGGAGATGGAGAAGGGTGATCAGGGCTGTGTCCAGCTGGGTTTTGAATGGCTCCAAGGCTGGAGACTCCACAACTCTCAGCAACCTGTTTCCCTGTTTGACCACTCTTATATTAAAAACAAAACAAAACAAAAAAACAAAACAGTGTTGGTTTGTGTTTTGTTTTGTTTGTTTGTTTTGTTTAAACATTTTTTCATCTATTTCAGGTTGTGCCTGTTGCCTTTTGTTCTGCCAATGGAAACTACTGAGAAGAACCTGATTCCATCTTTTTTATCTCCCCCAATCTGGTATATGTAGATGGACAAGATCCTCCTGAGCCTTCCCTTCCCCAGGCTGCAATCCCAGTTCCCTCAGCAGGAGAGAAAGGATCAAGTCAGATGCTGTGGACCTTGGGTAAGATCTTATCTCCAAGGACTAGGATGAAGGGACCATATGTTGGACATGAAAGCAAACCCTACTACCAGCATTGCTCTCAGCAGGCTCTGCACTACTGGGGATTGTGAATCTTGATTTGCAGGCAGGGAAAATGTTGCAAAAGCCATTTAAATTAAAAATAGATAATCTACAGACTTGGAGTGGAACAAGAGAGATTCACATTTAACATTGCAAGAGCCATTTGAATTAGAAATAGATAATCTACAGACTTGGAGCGGAACAAGAGAGATTCTCCAGACACAATCTAATTAAAGGTATTCTGGGCCAACAAACCAAGAGACTTAAAACATGTTTCTGGTTTAGCTGAGGATAAAAATGAGTTTTTATGAGCTACTGAGGAAGAGTTTGAGTTCTGTCATACTTTTAGGTTTTGATTGAAGTTGGGTTTTTTTGTTTGGTTTTTTTTTGTTTGGGTTTTTTTTTTGGTTTTTTGTGTTTGTTTGTTTGTTTGTTTTTTTTTGCTATTTGCTGTAGTAATAGTTATGCTGAGTTTAGCAGTTCTAGTCCTGGACTGTGACTATAGGCTCGTGGTAGCTGCTGTACAAATAGAGAACTAAAAGAGAAGCTCTAGGGGAAAAAAAAAAAAAAAGATGCAGCAGACTAGTGTTTATTTTTTATATCTGGGAAACTTTACTGGTAGAAACTTGGCTGACTTAAGGCTTTGTCTGTCTGTATTTCAGTGAGTCATTCCTATTACCTTCATAGTCAATAAAAGGAAACAGGCATATTTATCTTCTTTTTTTGTTTGTTTGTTTTTGGTTTTGTCTTGTTTTTTTCATACAAAGAGGGCAAGAAAGGAAAGGGCAAATAAAAAAAACGAAACCCTGCTGCTATCAGGGTGCTAAAATTACTCTTCTGTGCAGGCTGACAGGTCTCTTTACTGAGAACTGCAAAAACAGACTGGAAAAAGCTGCCCCAGCCCTGTGGTAGCTCTAAGTTGCAATGGCAACGTGAGCTGTGGATCCTCCCTGGGCTTCAGAGAAGCATCTTTCACCTCTTTGCGGTTCACAGTGTAGACTCTGCTCATTTATTTAGTCCAGGCTGTTCTGCCTAAATTAAAGAGGTAGCCTCAAGGGAAGATAAATTATCCAGAGTAATAAACCAATTTGTTCCTACCTGCTGTTGCTTCAAATCAAGGGAGATCTCTGTCTAAGTAAACATGAGAAGTATCACGCTGTGTTAAGGAAGTTGTGATGATGCAGCTTTAGAATTTTGCAAATTTATGAAGATTTAAGGCTTTCTCACAGATAGGAACCTCAGTGAACTTCTCTGCTGGAGAAGCTCATCCAGAGAAATAGTCACCCATTGTTAACAGTAGATGACCATTATTTGTGCAGGGCTTTCTGGGCCAGTTGGATGATTCTTTGACAGTGTGAAACGATGACATTCACTACAAGCTGACTGAGATGACCAAAGGTGGCCTATGAAATTACCAAGTCAATGAAAGAGGAGAGATGTTCCAAAGCTCATTTCAGTCCATGCAAACAGCCTCACTGACTTTATCCAGCTTTGCATCAGGCCCGTAGGAAAGTTCTTACTCTGCAAAGTCACGGGCTGTAAACCCACACTGTTGAAGGAAGTCTGATGGATTGTCCAGAGGATGGAGAATTTAGGACAGAATGAAGAGATAGATTTTGGTGGTGAGCACTGAAAACATGGATGTGTAAACAGCTCTTCAGAATTATCTGTGGCCTCCTTCTCAACAGGTCCAACTCACAGAGGCAGTGAGCACATGCCAGAACTGGACCCTCAGCAGAGGTATCCTGAGCTGCAGCCCACAGAAACATTAGCCCTTCACTCCATTTTGCCATTTTTTGCTTAATTCAGTTTTGTTTTCCTTTGTTTTGATTTTGTTTCAATGTTTTAATGAACTGTTTCCAAAGCACCGATGTCCTTTGCTGCTTTAGAACTGAAACCTTGACATACACAAGTTTACACTAATTAGCCCCATGTCACAATATACTTTATTTGTCTATTTTCCTCTGAAAGTGTTTTATACTCCATACCAGTTTCAGATGTAAATTGCAAAGTGGCTTCTGTACATGACAAAGCTGAAATCCTGCAGCATCATCCCATTCATGATAGAGAACCTAAATTAATCTGTGAGGTTGAGGGTGGAGACAGCACCTTGTAACATGAGGACCTAAATTTTCTATTTCTGAAAGCCCCCAACAGAATATTGTAGGGAAAGTGGGAAACCTCTGGCTGTTTATGTTTTTCTGGTTCTAGTCACTTGTAGTTGCTAATATTCTTATTTTCTTTTCCTGACAACATGGAAAACATGCTTAACATATGTTTTCAGGATCAAATTTACCCCCATGTCAGAAAACCTTCCTCTGCATTTGGGATGCAATTCATGCCTTAACTAATTTGAACTGAATCTCTTCCATCTGTGATAGTGGGAATGGGCTCTGAGGGCCCATATCCTCCCTTTCTGATCAGCGTGATGAGGGTTTCAGCCTGGGCCTGATATAATTGCTTTATTATATATGTAAAATTTTAATGATGAATTTTGAAGATGGGGGGAAAAAAGAAAAAAAAAAAAAAAAAGATGAGGAAAAGAAGACAAAAGTCACAATACCAGGAAAATCTGTGGTGGTTTC